ACTTATTTCCCTTGCCTAATTATTCTGACTAGAACGTCCAGCACAATGCTGAATAGAAGTGATGAAACTGGACATTCCTAAGTTTTCCTGACCTTAGGAGGAAATCATCCAATCACCACACTATTAAGTGTGATGCTAGCTATAGACTTTTCACAGGTACTCTTTATCAGGGTGATTTGGTATGTTGCATTGTTTGATTTTTGGATGTTAAATCAACCTTGCATTCCTGGAATAAATTCCTTTTGGTCATGGTGTTTAACTACTTTATATTTTTCTGGATTCACTTTGCTTATACTGGTCTGTCCTTTTCTGATGATGTCTTCTGGTTTTGTCATCAGGGTAATAATCATCTTGAAAAGTAAGTTGGGAAGTATTCTTCGTAAAAGAATTGGTATTAATTCTTTGATTGTTTGGTAGAATTCAGCAATAAAGCCATCTGGTCCTGGACTTTTCTTTGAAGTTAGGTTTTTGGTTATTTATTCAATTTCGCTGCTTGTTATGGATTTATTCAGGTTGCTTATTTCATTTTTGTCAGTTTTCATAGTTTGGGTCTTTTTAGAACTTTGCTCATTTCATCTATGTCGTCTAATTTGTTGGTGTTCACTTTTTTATAGTATCCCTTTTTTAACCTTTCTTATTTCTGTAAGGTTGGTGGTAATGTCCCCTCTTTCTTTCTGATTCTAGTAATTTTAAGTTTTCTCTCTTTTCATTACCTACCTAATGGTTGGTTAATTTAGTTGATCTTTTCAAAGAATCGACTTTTGGCTTCATTGATTTTATCTATTGTTTTTCTATTTTCTTTCACCTATTTCCCCCTTAATACTTAGTATTTCCTTCCTTTTGTTTACTTTAGTTGTGTATTAGATTCACGGAGTGTTCTACTTTTAACATGGGAATGGGGACAATCTAGCCTGTGGTCTTCCTTAAAGCTATTACGACTAAGACCGTGCCTCTCCTTTAGCATCTTTCCCACACACTTTCTGTTAGGCTACCCTGCTGTTGACACTGGTGGATTTAGAAAGGACTGTGATAGCTGCCTTTTGAGAGCAGGGTCTCTGTGACCCTTCTCTAAGTTTGTTGTAAACACTTACATCTCAGGGCAAGGCCCTGGGTGTGTGTGGATGTGTGTATTTGTGTGTGTGCGTGCGTGTGTGTGTGTGTGTGTGTGTTTATTTTCATTTCTGCAAGGTGCAAACACCTTGGTAACCAGTATCACTGGTGTTGCTATCTCCAGGAGTAGAGCCTAAAGAAGACAGAATACTGGCAAACACTGCTCATTGCAGACCCTTCACTCTTGGGTGAGAATGAACAGCTCTGCAAAAGTTACAAAGTTTGTTTTACTGGAACAAAAGGCAGAGCAGGGGGTATCTTGGGGGCCTGAGATTTGGTTTCCCTTGAAATTAAGCAATTCTTCACTCTTGAGATGCTCACTCCATGCAGGTTAGCTCCCATTACAGTATGTTGGAGGGATGTTGGAATTACAGGGAATATTTGGGAATTTTCTTAACAGATGCCTGGCCATGTTCTCATGTTTCTTGCTGCATGCAGCTGAAGGGTGAGAAAGACCTGGCAGCTTGGGTGAAATGATGGCACCTTCCTTCTGACACTTTAATTTTCAGAGGTGAGGGGTGGATGGATCCCTGGCATGAATTCCCAGATTTCTAGTCATGTTCTACAATATTATGCTGTTCTGCTTAAGACCTATTTCAGACCCTACAGCCCAAAGGTGAGGGGCTGGCTTGAACTGAGCTGAATAGGAAAGGGAACCCACATATTTATCCTCACAGATGAGATGCAGCTCATGGCTCTGGGGTAAGTAGTTTCTGATGAGGAGGCCAGTGACAGCAGCTTTGGTCAGGCCTTTAGACAACAAGGACGTCCCTGGCAGTGGTAAAACAGTTGCACCTCTTGACTTGGGTCAAATCTGGCGGGGGTGTCAGGAGGTAAAGTGGAACTGATAGGTTTTGTTCCCCAAGGTCTGAGTAGCTCTCATGGGCTGAAGGGCATATTTACTGCAATGGTTTGTATTTGTATATAAGCCTTTCAGGGAAGTATTTCAAAGGTAATTGGCATTCTAATGAATCAGTACAGCAAGAGGTTGTGTAAAATGCAGACTGAGTGAATCAAATTACTGGGGTTATATTCTTTCACTGTATTGGCTCATCAAAACAACGAGCCATTAAAAATTTTAATTAATTTTAAAAATTAATTAAAAAATTTTAAACCGGAATTTAAAACGGACTCAAATGATGGGCCATCATGTGTGTTGTAAATAGACTTAAGTCCATAACCGGTGGACCAAAACGTGGGAATGCACATTAGTTCTATTAAAACCCAAATCACCAGTTTAGTTCCAGCATAATAACACTACCCACCACGTTAAGTTAATATTAACTTGAATTTTATTGCTTTGTCTCTATTTTTACACTTTTATCATTTGGGATAAGCATAAATTATATAGATTTTGTATTTGTGTACCTCTGAGTAATGTTATAATAAAAAAGTTAAGTAAAAATTGCTGTTCATAGTGTGTAGGGTTTCAGTTTTCAAAGGGACCTCACACAGGCGGCATCTGTCCTGCATGTCATGACACCCAGTGGTCTGAGGCAGAACTGCAGCTTCACTGCCCGGTGACTGAGTTTGATGACGAACAGGCAACCCCCCTAAATAACGTCTGCCTTCTTCTCTTGGGGTCCTGAAATGAGGGGCCTCCAGTCCCTCAACTCCCCCATGTTGGTCTTTTCCACACTGTGGCTCTTTAGCTATTTGAGGGAACGATACGGAGGAGGGATTAAATCTTGTGTGCTGGGGACAGAACATGGAAATAAATGGTTGCTTTTAGAGTGAGAAAGTTTTGGGGGAAGGCACTTCTAATGATTAGAATGGTTCAACAGTGTCCACAGTGTAGCCATGGAATTTCCCTTTTTTTTTTGTAACATTTGTTAACATTTCTTGACGTTATGCCCTGTGGGTCATAAGCTTTCTTCCACCAGCAGTGTTTAAACAGTAGCTGTGACCATAGTCATGGATACAATTGGAGGGTCTTCTGGATTTGGTGGGAGGATGGATTAAAAGACTTCCCAGCACCACTGCAGCCCTGTGACTTTATGGACTCAGGGCTGGATATAAGCTCAGTGGCTTCATGTAGGCAGGAGGAAGAAGAGGAGGCTGCCCCAGATCAGGTTTTCCATGCCCTGATGCCAAGCTGTTGGGCTCCGACCCGCTCCATTTCAGCCCCTTCTGAAAAGTGTCCAGTTATGTCACCATCTTCACTGTCACCATGTCACTTGAGTTCTTGGTAGGGCCAATTGAATGAAACATCAATACTGCCTCCCTGCCCCTAAGGTGTCCTAAAAGTCGCTTTCCTTTCCAGGGGACAGAGATACTTGATTTCTGGACTAATTATAGCCCAGGCTGGAGGAGGCATCTGTATGTCTTGTGGGGTCTTTTGGCAAATGAATGAGAAGATAATCATAATCTTTGTCCCAGTGGCTGGGTTGGCATGGCCCTCACCTGAGTACAGAGCAGGTGTTCCCTGGAGCTTGAGACAGAGTTGCCCCATGAATGGAAGCCAAGGAGGCCTTTCCTGGATCCTTTTGTGAGCAGCACAAGGAGTAAAAGATGAAAAGTGGAAGCTCCTACCTATGTGTTAATAATAACTAAAAAATAAGACCCTTTATTTACACAAGGAATGTTGATTATATGAAGTTGCAGAGCACAGCTGAGTAATTGCTTTAATTTTATATCTAATACATAAATGATTAAGGCAGTTAAAATATGTATAAGATGAATCCAAAAACACTGGGGACATAACCTCCTAAATTAACTAAATGGGAGGATATAACCCCTAAGAGATAAACGATCACCTGGGAAAGGAGTATTGAAGATTGTCCTCAGACATGACTCTGACTTCCTGGCTGTCACCTCTGGCTTCCACATGGGGTGTGACTCTTCTCTGCTCCCCTGGGTTGACGGTACCTTCTTGGGAAGCAGTGGGTTTCCCCTGCCCTGGAAGTAATCAAGCAGAAGCTGTGGGAACTCTCAGCAAAAAGACAATAGAATAGTTTTTGACTTACATACAGTAAGTAGGTATTACACCTAGACCCTATGGCATGCTATAAACTCCAGTCATTTCTGTTCTCCTCTCCTCTCCTTTCTCCTTTTTTCTCAGAAGGTGAGTCTTGGAAATCTGTGGTCCAACAGGGTTTCCAAGTACTTCTGATATAGCCTAGAGCAGGCGTCCTCAAACTACGGCCCGCGGGCCACATGCAGCCTGCCAAGGACATTTATCTGGCCCGCCAGGTGTTTTTGCTGCTGCTGCCTGTCCTGCTTAGCAGCTGACTTGTCCTGGGGCCCGCGGTCTGGCCCTCCAATGGTCTGAGGGACAATGAACTGGCCCCCTGTTAAAAAAGTTTGAGGACCCCAGGCCTAGAGTTTAAGAATCACCATTTCAGAGAAAAGAGCAGGTGTGCTCCAAGTTGAGGACAGATGGGGGAAGAATAGCACCTTTGTCACTGGAAAGACCCAAAGGAGACTGTACTTACAGTGTCACAGTCAGTATGCCCTGCTGGGGAAGTGGGAGTCAGAGCTGCAGCTTTACAGAGCAGCAGCTGTGAACACAGCAGGTGCGATGCCCACAGACCCCTCACAAAGTGAAGCCCATCAACCACAGAAGAAAGCCACAGAGGCCAGGAAGAAGGGTGGTGATAGTGTAAGTTGTTTCAAACAAATGTAATAAGATTAGGAAGGTCATGGGCAAAGTGCAGTTAAAAGGTTCATTGCAAGTATTACCATGACCAAGGTCCTGTGGAGAAAAAAGAGATTTATGGGCTTCTGAGAGAAGATGAATCTATACTTAGAAAAATAAAAAATAAAAAAAGGCAACATTGAGAACAAAGCAAACTGCCATGGTTCCTGCAGACCTGGAGAATGGGGGCAGAACCAAAGAGTTCTTATTAAATGAAAGAGTCAGCCTAATAAATTAAGAGGAATGTGAGGCCTCAGAGGTCCAGGCTGTCCAGAATCTGGAAGAAATCAGACACAAATGGTTGCTGCATAGCTCTTCTCAGCAATGCCTTGAGCCCTGTCCTTGGAATCAGATTTCTGGCCACATGATCTCCATTCTGCATGGTTGGGACCTGTGCTTTGCAGGAAGTACTGGGTGGCTTGTCATCCACCTCAGCTGGGAGGAGAGCATACAGGGCCTCCATGGAGGGCACAGACACAGGTGGCCTCCGGTTGAGGACTTAGTTGTCATTTACCCCCTATGGGTTTCCTTCAGTGAAACTGGTTATGTGGGATTCTTATATCCTACTCTTTCTGTTCCTTTTTAAAAACTTATTTCGGATTAATAAGAGGCTACATACAATTAGGTTACATTGTTTGTATTTGCAAGATGAAGTCTGAGTTGTAGTTGTCTTACAAGCTTGTCATCAGAGGCTGTAGGAGAGCCACCTCCCCTCTGCCTCAGACCTGCCTCCTATGAATTGCTGAGCCTTGGCAAATGTGATGGGTGGAGGAATAGGTGGGAATGGCAGGTGGCCACTGTCACCAGGGAGGGTGTGTGTACCCCAGTCTCGAGCACTTTCTCAGGGTCCTTGGACTGCCTCCAATCTGAGCTGGTGATCCCTCTGCTTTTGAAATCTGATAAACTGCCACAGGGCAGATGTGACGTCTTGCTTCCTGAGCTACTGTAGACATATCCTGAGATGTGGTGAAATTAGCACCCACTTATGGGACGTAACCATTGAGAACCTTGGTCCAATGGGAAAGGGAAGGCATTAATTTCCTAAAGCTGCCATCTCAGAGTACCAAAATTGGGTGGCTTAAAATAACAGAAATTTATTGCCTCACAGTTCTGGAAGCCAGAAGTTTAAAGATGTCTGTAGAGTTGCTCCTTCTGAGGGCCTTGAGGTCCTCAGTCCCAGGCTTCCCCCAGCATTTGGTGGTTTGCTGGCAGTTTTTGTCTTGTGAATGTATCACTCCCACTCTTGGCCTTCATCTCCACAAGGCTTTCTCCTGGTGTTCTGTCTCTCTCTTTTTTTACTTTCTCTTTTTTGAGACAGAGTCTCTCCAAGTCACCCTTGGTAGAGTGCTGTGGCATAACAGCTCACAGCAACCTCAAACCCTTGAGCTTAAGAGATTCTCTTGCCTCAGCCTCTCAAGTAGCTGGGACTACAGGTGCCTGCCACAATGCCCAGCTATTTTTTGGTTGTAGTTGTCATTAGTGTCACTGTTGTTTGGCAGGCCCAGGCTGGGTTCAAACCTGCCAGCTCTTGGGTATGTGGCTGGTGCCCTTGCCACTAAGCTACAAGCACTGAGCCTGGTGTTCTGTCTCTTTACATTGTCCCCTTTCTATCCACATCTGTGTCTAAGTTTTCCTTTCTTATAAGGATACCCACCATATTGGATTAGGGCCCACCCTAATGACCTCAACTTACTTGCCTCTGTAAAGACCCTATTTCCAAACAAGATCACATCCTGAGGTACTGGGAGCTAGGACTTCAACATAGCATTTTAGGGGGATATACTTCAACTCACAATAGGGAAGAAGGGAGGGAACCAGGTGAGGAACTCTCTTCCTTTTTCCTTCCCTTGGGATTCTCTGAGGGGAAATTTTCTTCTGGAGAAGTCCCAAGACTGAGCAAATGTAGCTGCCATATCCCTTGACCACACCAAGATGAGGTGTCTCCTCATACTTGCTGTGACTCCCTGGCCCTGCAACTGGTGCCAGTCATGTTGCTCCCACATCTTTCCCTGCCTCACTTCACTCACCTGACACCTTAACCTTCCTGGCCAGCACTTCCAGATAGAGTGCTGGCACATGACCCTTGCCTCAGGCTCTGCTTTCTAGGAAGCAGGGAGCCAGGGCCTCCATTCACAGGAGCCAGCTGAGCAGTGGGAGTCGATGCGTCAGCTGAGGTCTGAGAGGAATGAGAGCAGAGCTCTTGGAGGAGTGTGTTAGGACAAGCAGGGAGACTCAGGGAGCAAGTAGTCTGAAGAGCCCCACAGTGAGGGGAAGGTAGGGCTCACAGAGGAGGCAGGAGGGTCAGAGGGCAAGGGGGAGGGGAGCAAAGAAGGACAAGGGAGATGGGAGAAGGATCCGGGCAGGAGAACTTCAAGTGAGAGGAAAGAGAAGAAGCAAGAAAGCCCAAGGATGAAGATGAAGAGGACTATAAGCCAGAAATGGGTTCAGCAGACACAGTGTTCATGGTTAACCTTCTGAAAAGGTGCCAGTCATGGCTTTCTGTGAGCGATGAGGGTTTTTATTTTACCTCATGGGAGAAGAGGCAGTACTTTCACTTAGGCCACTCTAGAGTTATAACTCTTAATTTTCTCCTCATAATTTTTCAAAATATATGTCTTTAATTTGCTGATCTTACCCTTAACCATAAAAAATAACTGGGGTAATTTTATTTTTTTTGAGACAGAGTCTCACTATGTCACCCTTGGTAGAGTGCTGTGATGTCACAGCTCACAGTAACCTTAAACTCTTGGGCTTAAGTGATTCTTTTGCCTCAGCCTCCTAAGTAGGTGGGACTACAGGCGCCTGCCACAGTACCTGGCTATTTGTGGTTGCAGTTGTCATTTTTGTTTGGCAGGCTTTGGCTGGGTTCAAACCTGCCAGCTCTGGTGTATGTGACTGGCACCCTAGCATCTGAGCTACAGCCGCCAAATCAACTGGGGTAATTTTTAAAGAAATAGACACCTGGGGTATCATAAATACTTGGAACTGGCCTTAAGTGTCTCTGTGTCCACATAATGATCTGTGCATGAGTTCCCAGCTCTTCCTGTGGCCAGTCCAGCTTGGTGTCAGACTCCTGCAGCCCAGTTTCCTTTACAGATATTAGCAGTCTGTGACCCAAAGGGTCTTCAGTGAACCTGTTCCCACCTTTTCAGATTACTTCTCTCACTTGCCACCTGTGTGTGGCAGGTGGGAGGATTTGTGCATAGAAGCTGAGGACAGAGAGAAAGAGCTCTGGGGCTCTTTTGGTGTGGTCAAGGCGAGAGCTGATTGCAAAGAGCCAGGAGGTCTAATTGCTCCCCCCACCCAAAATACCTCTTCTCCCCTTTCTACATGGCTGAATTCCTGGCACCCAGGAAAGGCAACTCATCACAGCAGGGCATGGTGGTGGTGGTGGGCTGGCCTAGACAGCATGGTGGTCTGCATTGCACCACCCCACATTGCTCCTGGGGCTTTGCAGGAGCTGGGTGGCCTGAAAAATAGGACCTGCCTCTGACTGAGCCTTTGCAGAGTGTGTGGTCCTTTATTTGGAAAGGAGACCCTATTTTCATTACCCTCAGTGTCATCTGTCATTTAGTAAAGCAGATGGACTGGACCCCTCAATAGCACTGTAGTGACAAATATAATAACATATAGTGATATCCATAGCTAAGGGTCAAGGAGGTCATTCCCTCAAGGATGGGAAGCATTTTATCCATTCACATTCATAAAACACTCCATGCCAGCCTGATGTGTACCAACTAGTATTGAGGGAACTGTTAGAGGGCGGGGTAGATACAGTCCTGTGAAGCACCTTGGCATGGGTCAGAAGTGGACAAAGATACACCTATGTACTACGTATGAGGTCATGCAGTGACAAGTTCTATAAAGACACTAAGAGCAGGGTGAAGGGACACAAGAGCGAGGGCTGGTGTGTGACTGGGGCAGAGGATGCATGGCTGCAGGCAGGATGGTACAGGTTCTCTCAGGAAGGGGCATCTGAGCAGAAGCTGAAATGCTGCAGGGATGAGCCTGCAGAGCTCTGGGGCAGGAACGTTCCAGCAGGGGGCACAACAGGGCACAGGCTCCCAGGCAAGAATAAACTTGACTGAAAAACAACTCCCTCCACACCATTTTAAGTTTACATTAGTTTTAGTTCATGGCCTATGAGTTTTGACAAATAATCACCACCACAGCCAAGACAGAACATTCCATCTCCCCCAAGACGACTTCTGTGTCCCTGGGTTCTGAATCTCTTCTCCTGCCCAAGTCTCTGGGAGCCACTGGCGTGTTTGCTGTCCCTGTGGTTCTGCCTCGCAAGGCTGCCATGAAGTAGAATCCCGCAGCTTTTAGTCTTTACATGTGATGCGTTTGAGATTTATCCATGTTGCTTGCATATCGGGAGTTCTTTCTTTTTTATTGTTGAATAGGACTCCATTGTATGGAATTTGTCCATTTTGTTATCCATTTTCCTGGTAAGGGATACTTGGCTGGTTTCCAGTTTGGGGCAACTATAAACAAAACTGCTAAAAGAAAATACATTCGTAGGTTTTTGTGTAAATCTCCATTTTCATTTCACTTGAGTAAAATACCTAGGACAGAACTGCTGGGTCGTGCAGTAAGTGTATGTCCAACTATGTAGGGAACTGCCAAACTGAGAAACCATGTCTAAGAAGTTTATTACAGTTTTACCCTTTACAACGATTGTTTTCCACTCCAGGCAAACATGCTCAGCTCCCCTGGGCTAGGCAGCTTGCCTGAGGTCACCAAGCTGGCATGAGTAGGCCTGGAGAATTCGGAGCTCCACCCACGTGTGAGGCGGGTGCTTCTTGCCCATTCAGTTCTGTGTTTTCCCCTGGGATGCTTCCTTTGCTTTCTCACAGTTGCTGCCCAGGAATGCAGGCTGGCCCAGGCCTGCCTTCTCTGTACACCTCCTTCATCAGGCTGTCTTCTCTGTGGTGATGCCATCTAGGGCTGCCGGCGCCTGGGGTCTATGACTGTGTGCAGAACAGCAGCTGCAGGTGCTGGCAAAGCCATTGGCTTCCAGCTGCTGCCTGCCTTTGGCTCAGCTCCCTGTTATGGGCCAGAGACAGAATAGGCTGCTCTCCCACCTGGTCTGCTCCAGGCCCGGCACCTGTCAGGGATCCAAGTGCCACTTTGTGGACACTAGCAAGAACTGTGGCTGCACTTAAGTTCAATGCCCAAAAGCACAGCTCTGATGCTTCTAAGTAGACACACACACACGGTGTAAAAGATACATGCCCGTGTTTAAAAAGCCAAACAGCAGATAAAGACATGCAATACAAGGTATAGTATATCTGTTGCTCCAGTTTCGCACCTGTAGTTAATAATTTCTCTTTTTTGAGTTACCTGGTCAGCACACAACATGATAATATATGTAAATTCTTCATTTATCAACTGTAGATAGTGTCTATTAACTATTTATAGAAAAGATAAAA